TCCGTGAGTAATTTGTCTCGGTATCTCTCCGTGAGTGAAACAGAAGGCTTGGCTCTCCCCACGAAAAGATTAGTCACTTAATATAAATAAGGATACAAACGGCTTCAGGAAATAGATTCTGTGGGTCTCACAGCCAGAGCCTGAGAACTGAAACGCACGTGGCTGCCGCGCCTCACGCCACACGGGGCTCCCCGGCCGCGCGCGTCATTCCGCACGCCCACTGCCCCGCCCCCACCCGCAGCCGCCACAATGAACAATGGGGAAGAATGCGCCCCGGGTGGCCCGGGCCACGTGCGCGCGTTCCACCTAACCGGCGCGGCGTCACTCTCGGCTTCCGTCACCTGAGACTCGTGTGTTCACGCCCTAATCTGGCCTGACTCTCCGTTTCCTCCCCACCCCGAACCCTTTCCCGGTCTCTAAACCTCCTCTCCGCTGGTGCCGGCGGCCCCCACCCGATAACTCCGCTTGTCCTGTGGCGCACTCATTGCCGATGTCCACCCGTTATTCTTGGAGGGCTTGAGCGCGTCTCACTGGCTCACCTCCTGTAACCCGTGGGGACGACCAGCTACCCAGTGGCCTGTCGGGCCCTGACCTCCCCTCCACCTCAGCCGCCACCCCCACCACCCGACCCTGGTATTGCTGGTAGCTGCTCCACATCTGCTGTCGCCATCCCTAGCGTCCCCTCCATGGCTGCCACCACGCCCTGTCTTCCAGCTCTCCTATTCAGTGTCCTCTCTGCCGCCAGCCACTCTCTTCTCAAGTCTTCCCATCACCTAGCTTCAGCACTGTCTCACTTGTTTCCCTTCACACTGCTCCTGCATCGTTCCAACCCTGCACACCCGGCACTGTGGGCACGGCTGTCTGAACCCCAGCCTTGAGCGGACCTAATGGTTGCTTGACCTTCGCTCTGTATAGGTCATCACCAGAGGCCACCTCTCAGTCAATTGCTGCCTGGTGTCAGCTGGCTCCCTCAGGAGCAGACTCAGGGATGCTCCACGCTGCTCACCACACCCACTAACCAAGGAGGTCCACATTTATTCCACGTTCAATGCTCTCTTTGCATTCCTTATTGGGTGCACCTTGACAGCCCATCTCCCAGCCACAGTCCCTCGGAGGAGTTGCCCATGGGACGCTGGCTCACGCACAAGGTCCGGGGCCACATCTTCCTGCTGGAAGCCCAGCCTGCCTGGTCTCAGCGCATGTGTGTCTTGTTTCCCAAAGGACAAGAGAAAGGCAGGCCCTGGGTCTCACGCTCCTTTTGGGCCCTCGAGTGTGGGGGACAGAGCTGGGCATGCTCATGAATGACAAGAACGGATGTGTGTCCTGTGTCTAGGATTCGCTGGGCCCAGCTCTATGTGCATTCTGGTAAATCTCACAGTGATCAACCACGGAGAAATGGAAGCGTTCAGGAACTTACCTGGTGTTGCATGGATGGTAGTAATGAGGCTGGAATAGGATCTGGAACTGCCGTGGACACACTCAGATTTCATGGGCAGGTGGATGCCTCCTCCACGAAGTAGTGGCAGAAGAGCCTTCCAAGGAAAATGCATTTCTGAGGCCATCTCTTCCCACCCAGCGCCTCTCCCACTGTCTTTGGTGAAGGACCAGCTGGAACCAGGCTACATCCTAGGGGCTGAAGAACAGAGTCCAGAGATCACTTGTTTGGACCTTGAGGCAATGCTATGCCCTAAACCTTTCTAAATGCTTGCTCTTGACGTCTATACTTGTAGCCTTGCAGACCGGTAGTCAGCAGCAGACCACGCTTTGAGTAGTGAGTCTGGCCAACTGGGGAACATGGTGCCTTTCTCTCCAACCTGTCTTGCCCAAGCCCACCCTGCACTGGTACCCACATCTGATCCTGGGGTTCGTATAGCTGGAGACATGATCTGGGAAGCAGGGAGCCAACCAGACTGACCTGGAGCCCGGCAGGGGTGCTGTTGAGGCAGCGGATGGGAGAGCAACACCCGGGCTGCATGGCCTCCTGCTTCTACAGCTAGTGGCCCCCGTCCAGGTCAGCCCCATCACTGACCAGTGAGAAACCACAGACTCAGCGTCAAGGGCCATCGGGTCTCCTCAGAACAACCCATCAGACCACTTGAAGACAGAGGTCAGACCGATGGACCTTGAACCCAGGGGTTAATGGTCTCTGTCCAGTAAATGCTCCAAGTTTCACTCATTTTTTTCAACAAATGTTTATTGATGGCCAGGAGGCTCTGTGCCAGGATACGAGATAAGCCCGGGCTGTGTCTCCTGCTAGTTGGGAGACAGACGCCTTGAACAAGAGCTCCCATGGACAGCAGAGGGTGGCTGGAGAGGGGAGAAGAGGGGAGAGAAGAGCCTTGGTGGTCTGTCTCCCATGCTGAGCAGCCGCAGGCTGCAGGGGAGCCGCCTTTGCCCCTGCCTGGACCAGCTCTTTTCTTGACACTGAGGAAGTGGATTCTTCCCAGTGCCTCTGAGTCAACAAGCCAAGGAGTATCTGGTGGGTCAGCACAGTGGCCTGCACCTAAGGAACTGGGCCGGGGGGGCAGCCCAGGCACAGGAGCCCCACTCCCTGCTAGACCCGCCTCCTCTTCTTGCCCCCTTTCTGCCCACCATTCTTTCCTGTAGCAGGAAAATAACGCTCTGAGCTGGGATCTTTGGAAGTCCTCATTAGGATGCTGCTGCTTCTTGATCTGTATAGAGAATGTAGTCTGTGACCTCAGGCAGATCTGCATTCAAATCCCAGCCTGGCTACTCAGTAAGGATGACGTGGAGTGGCGAGAGCTTCGACTCTGAGCCTGACGCCTCAAGTCCAGGTCCAGCGCTGCTGAGTACTAGACGTGTGACCACCTTGTGTCACTTGACATGTCTGTGCCTCAGTTTCCTCCCCCCTAAAATGGAGATCGCTATACTTACCTGGCAGGGGAGATACCGTGATCACGAAGGTGGTTTCCTCAGGGCGAGGCTCATCCATTGCACTCCGGATGTGCTGACCCCTGCGATTTCCCCAAGTGTGGGAAACTCGACTGCATTTGTGGTAGTGGGGGGCTGTGTGTGCACTGTCCCCTGGTCAAAAAAAAAATGGAGATCACTGACATATATGCCACGGTGTTGTCAAGTGGACAGAACAGGTAGATTTCACATGAAATACTTAAAACACGGCCAAGCTAACAGCAAACAGTTGTTAGCTGTGTTAGTTACTGTGTGTTCGTTATTGTTAGCTATGTGAGTTATTGCTAGCTATGTTAGTTACTGTGTGTTAGTTATTGTTAGCTATGTTAGTTATTGTTAACTATGTTAGTTAGTTAGCTATGTGAGTTATTGTTAGCTATGTTAGTTACTGTGTGTCAGTTATTGTTAGCTATGTGAGTTATTGTTAACTATGTCAGTTAGCTATGTGAGTTATTGTTAACTATGTTAGTTAGCTATGTGAGTTATTGTTAGCTATGTTAGTTATTATTAGCTATGTTAGTTACTGTATGTTAGTTACTGTTCAACTATGTTAGTTATTATGTGTTAGTTATTTTTAGCTATGTTAGTTGCTATGTGTTAGTTATTGTTCCCTATTGCTATCACACAGATGTGCAGGAATAGAGAAAGAATTAAACAAGGTAATCACTGAAAAATGCTGAGTAGGCGCCTGGCCAATAGTAGTGTTTGCTCTTCCACATTTTCCTGATAAGATAAAAACCGCATGGAAGGCAAACTCTGCCATCCTCATCAGCCCGACGGGCACAGACCTGTGGTCGCGGGCATGCCCCCAGGGGCGGCCCTGGTGCTCCTTGGGGGGACACCCCCAAGTCCTCTAGAGGGGTTGTGAAAGTCTTGAGAAAACATCCACTTAAGTTCACCTTCATGTGATGCGTCGTCTTTAAAAGGTTGCTTTAGAAAAAGAAGAAGCCACGGCAGCTGCGGCGGCGGGGAGGCAGAGACATGGACGCAGCTGATGTCAGAGCTAGGCCAGGCCCGAAATGCATGTTCCATCCAGAGTGGGAGCTTTGTCGGCTGCGTCTTCCTGGGCTCGTCCGTGGAGAAAGGAGGAAAGTGGCCGAGGGCCGCTGAGCTGAAGCCTTGGGGCTGGAGGTGGCCGTGGGAAGACGAGACGAGGAGGGGGAGACGGCCAGACATGGCTCTCACCCGCTGCAGCCTGCTGCCCGGCTGCCCAGCGTGGGGGCTCGGTGACAGGGGCTGGCTCTGCGTGGGGTGGCCCCCGAGCACCCCTCTCTGCGGCTGCTGCCCACTAGTGGGAGGGAAGCCCCACGGGAGGCCTTTCTCCACGCAGTGTCCTTCTAAGGGTGTCCAACCCTTTGGTGTCTCGGGGACACACTGGAAGGAGAAGAGCTGTCTTGGGCCACACATTCAATACATTGTAACACATAGTCACAAAAAATTCTCAAAATGTTTTAGATGAATTTAGGATTTTGTGTTGGGCCACATTCACAGCCACCCTGGGCCACAGGTGGTCCACAGGCTGTGGGCTGGACGCCCCTTCCAGACGCTGGAGTTGTCCCGCTGGGTGCTCCCAGGAGGGCTGGGATGCGCCTGACCTTGAAGCCTCTTCCTGAGCCCAGGCCGGGGCCCAGTTGTGGTGCTGACTGGACTGTCCCGTTGGGTCGGTGACCAGAAGTCGCTTGTCCATGCTGGCCTCCCCCGAGCTGCCCTGCAAGTGGCCTGAGCGGGTATGTCTGTCTAAACAGTGACGTGGCTCCTGACCTGGGCCTCACCTTGGGACTCAGTTTCCCCTCACCTTCTGTCTCTGCCCCCTGGCGCCTGTCCACCTCTCCAGCCCTCAGGGTCCTATCATGTCAGGGCTGGAGGTACCGACAGGCACCCCTGGGCTGGGTCAGCTAAGGTGAGACCAGGGGAGCTCAGGCCAGACGACAGCAGGTGAGGCAGGTAGCGTGTGATGTGCGGTGCGGTCTCCTTGGGAGAGCCCTGTGGCGGGTGAGTCACCTCTGAGGCATCTCCTGGGTTATAAATAGGAAAATAGGCCTGGCTGGGAGTGATGGGAAGGAGAACAATAAAGGCCCATTGTCCTTCCTGATAGGTTGTTACTAAACCGTGAACAATCCCTTTGAGGGAACTGGAGTGTACAGAAAGCTCCTGAGCCCCGTCCGGGCCAAGGGCTAGGTGCCCCGGAGTGTGCCAGGGCTGCACCTATAGGGCGGCATTGAATGAATCAGACACCAACCTGTGAGGTAAGTACCTGTACTTATCCCCGGTTTGGAGAGGGATCGACGGGCCAGAGACAGACAGGTTCACGGCTGTGCAAGCTGAGTCGAAGCCAGATCTGCCTGTCTCGAGGCCTCTGCCCCACAGCAGGAGTGGCCCCGGGAACCTCAGAACGACCGAGCCACCGACTCTGACACCCCAGGGCTAACGAACGAACGTAGTCCCACCAACCAAAGAATCCAGCGAAACCCAAGTCCAAGGTTGCCCGTGGGAAATGCCACCCACAGAGACAAAGGGGTTGGCAATCCCTTTAAGCAGGAAAGGATCTATTAAACGTTTTTTTCATCTTTATTCCATTTCAAAACATTAAATAAAGGCCGGAGCCAGGAAAGCCTTCCAAGAGGAACTGAGCAAAAAAGCCTGTTCTCAGCTAGAAGGTCGTTCTGCTTCTGTGTGCCAAGGGGCCTCGGGACTCGGTCCCCACGAGGGTTCTGAAGATCGTCCCAGCCACTCCCGGGCCCACGCCGCCATGCCCACCCCCTGTGCTGGGATGGAGCAAGACTGGACCTGGCCGGGTGGGCATCGGAGGCCTTCGGGGACCAAGGCGACATTTGGTTGGGACCCCACCCAGTTCCATGGGCCTCAGGCCAGACACACAGGACCGTGCACATTCCTGAGCTGCCTAGGAAGCAGACACCTGGGGTGAGCATCGTCAGAGCCTCCTCCCAGCTGACCGTGAACTTCTGGTCTGGTGGGGACGGAGTCTGGGAGGACGTCTTCCACTCTCTGGGGTACAGGAGGCATAGAACTGGGGTACACCACACCTCATCTACACCAGCGAGGTTATAAGGGCCCCATGTAGTTCCACAAGTGCAAACCAGGGCGGGGGTTGGTTAGCTTGGTTTTTGCATAAATACCGAGCAGTCATCTCTCCTTCCCGCCCCCACAAGCAGCTCTCGTGAACGCTCTCAGTAGGAGATGCATTTCAGGGAGAGGGGAAGAGCTCCGAGTTGGCCCCGAAAAGGGGGGCTTCTAAGTGGGTTGTCGGGGAAGATCCCTTCTGCAGGGCAGATCTGAGGTGGAGCTGGCAGCGGACTGGACCCGTGGGCTTCCGCCGCAGACACCACCGGAAGCCCTTGCCTTACCCCCCATCGCAGCCACCTCGGTCCACCACCAGCAAAACCACCAGCATTATAACCACCATCTTCAACACCTTCATCACCTCCCCCTTCACACACAGACACACTCACACTCCTAATGAGTCTAGCACTGCCTTCTTGTAGACTTCTCTGCCGTCTGCTTCTCCCCTGCACGCACGCAGACACCCCCTGAGCTTAGGACTAGTTCCTGTCCATCTTGCCACAGCCAACTCTCCATTCTCCATCTCCTCCTCCTCCCACCTGCTTGTCCACAGCCATTAGAGGAACTTTCTAGAGTGTTCAAAGACCTTCAGTGGCTCCCCTGACTTTCCAAAACATGCCCAAAAAAAACCCCCAAAAAACAAATAACAATCACGATAAAGTTTGGGAAGTGCTGGGCCCAACACTGAAGTGTGTTTCTCTATTGCAGGATTAGTCGGAGCCTTTAGTACGTAATGTGTGGGCATCGAGACACTTCGGTGGGAAGAAAGCAGATACAGTGCGTAGAGCTTCCTGCATTTCTTCGGTCTCCTTTACTGGCCCAGGTTTCTCCCACCCTCCTAGCTGGCGCTGGCCTCCCCGAGGCCTGCCTGGTTCTCCCCGCCAGCTCCGGGCTCTCTCCTCCGTGGTTCCCATCACAGCTGCTGCCGTGGGTTCGGGACCCTCCAATAATCCCCTGACGGATATGCCCACCCCAGTCCTCCCCTGAGCTCCCAGCCTGAATTCACCCACTTCCCCCTTGACTGATAACCCTTCAACAGCTGTCAAGTTCGGTATAGTGAACGTGTTACCCCATGATCTTCCCTGTCACACCCAGCTGCCTCCAGTCTCTTCCTGTCTCCATAGAGGGTACCACCATCCGCCTGGCTTCCTCACCTCCAAAGCTTTGCCAATAGTTACTCCCTTTAAATGTGTCTTTTTAATTTTGTTAGTTTTTTCTTAATGTATGTTTCAGTGTGATGAGAATACTTGCCAAGTGAGCTACCCTCTTAACAAATTAAGGACGCAGAGCAGCATTATTAACTGGAGGTACACTGTGGTGGGACGGATCTCCAGAACCTCCTGCGTTACCGGGACTTCATGTCCATTGACCCCGTCCCCTTGGCGGGGTCAGGATGGGGTCAATGGACATTCCCTGCTTCCATGAGTTTGGCGACTGTGGATGCCTCGTGTGGATGGAGTCGCACAGCATCTGTCCTCTGGGACTGGTTGATCTCACTCGGCATCCTGTCCTCCAGGTGCCTCCGTGCTGTCGCGTGCTACAGGGTCTCCTTCTTTTTTAAGGCTGGGTCATTGTCCACTGTGCATGTCACTTACCCATTCATCTGGCACTCAGTGTCTTCCCGTGTCTTGGTTACTGTCGACAATGCTGCCGTGCACATTGGCGTGCTACTTGCCCTTCGAGATCCTGGTTTCAATGTGTTGGGATACAGACCCACAGGTGGAATTGCTGGATCCTGCAGACATTCGATTTCAAAAGTGTTGAGGAACCTCTGAACTGTTTCCCACAGCGGCTGCGTCATTGTGCATTCCCACCAGCAGTGTGCGGGAGTTCCGATTCCTCCACGTCCTCACCACGTCCTCCACTGAGTTCGTTCTCTCTCTCTCTCTCTCTCTCTCTCTCTCTCTCTCTCTCTCTCTCTCGTCACACAAGGCAGCAGCAGCCTTACCCCTCTCAGCAGAGCGAGAAAAATCTCGAGCCTTGTCTGTGGAAGATTCTGCGCGCTGAGACTGTGCAGGAGAGCAGAAACAACACGAGGAAGCCGATGTGCCGTGAAGCCAAGGTCGGGATGCTGCCACCCCGACCCAGAGGCTCGGTCCTTCTCCTGTCTTCCCAAGGTGGCCTCCCCGAGCCTGGCCCAGGGCCTGGCATAACACTTCCTTGGAAATCACCGCTGTGAGGAACTAGAGAGGATGATTAAGCCAAGGCATCGAGGGAGATGGGCCGTGTTTACACACCACAGCAGGGAGTCAGACAGAACAAAGGGTGTGGATGAGAAACCCAGGAAGCAGACCAGGGACCAGGTGCTGGTGTGGGTTCCCCACGCTTTCCCACACCCCGTCGGCAGCTGCAGGGCCAGTCTCCTGGGGCTGAAACTCCTCCGTGGAGGCACCAGACCACACACGTCAGTCTGCTGACCGCGGACGACCCGGCTGGCGTCATGGGAAGAGGCAGCGGTGCTCAGCGTACCTAGGGACCACGAACGCTCCTCCGTTTCTCAGCTTCCCTCGCTAGGAGGTCAGGTCACATGACGAACTCTGGCCAATGGACTGTGAGCACCAATGATGCGCTCTCCTTCCAGATCAAGCAATAAGAAGGAGCATGTGTTCTGTCCCCCTCTTCCTCTGCTAAAGTGACCTGGGACAAAAAGGAGGGAGCCTGGGTCCCTGAGTCACCTGGCGGATCTTCAGACAACAAAGAATGGCTACCAGTTCTAACTGGACTTCCTGTGAGCAAGAAATAAACTTTTGTTTATTACAGGTTAATTTATTGTCATGATGTGGCACCTAACCTCCTCTAATAAAAATAAGTAATAGTCACGTACTATTTTAGAGCTTAAAAGAGTTTTTGCTTACTCTCATCGGATATTCACCTATCCCATGAACAAGGTAGTTTTTTTCTTTTTCTCTCTTTTTTTTTAACATTCTCAAATGGATCCCTAAGGCTAGCTGGAAAAAATCACAGAGAAATGAACAGCTTTCCTTTGTAGAAAACAAAATGGAAAAGAAGCCTTCTTTACCACACTACCCAAAATGAACATATACCTAAGAACAAACTTACCAGGCAAAAAAAAAGCAGGATTTGCTGAGAAAGTTATGAACTCTATTGAGGGAAATAAGACAAAATTTTAACAACCAGAGAAATATCCTCAAGCTCTTGATTAAGAAGATTTATTTAAAAATAAACTACTTTATACAAAGGAGATTCGTAATGAACCACTATGTACATAAATAGAATCCAAATGGATTAAAGAATCAAAAGCAGAAACATACAATTATGAAAATATGTATTTTTCAAATATCTTCACATTGGATATGCAAAAAGTCTTTCTGAGCAAGGCACCCAATTCGTTAGCCATAAAAGAAAACACTAACAGGTTTAACTCTCTATAATTTTTTTTAAAGAGGGAGAGAAACATCACTGTGTGGTTGCTTCTCACATGGCCCCCACTGGGGACCTGGCCCGCAACCCAGGCATGTGCCCTGACTGGGAATCGAACCTGCGACCTTTTGGTTCGCAGCCCATGCTCAATCCACTGAGCCACACTAGCCAGGGCTCTCTATAATTTTTAAGACTTTCTAAACATTAGTGCCATCATTTGCAAAGTCTAACAATGAGAGAGACTCGGGGAGAAAATATTTGTAACATCTATGAAAGGCAATGTTCAATTTACAAATTATAGTAAATCTCGAAACACAGATAAAAGAAAAGTAAACCACCCAATCAAAGAAGTAGGCAAAAACTATTCAACAAACTATTCGCAGGAGAAACATAAAAAGTCAATACACCATGAAGTGGCCCTGGCTGGTGTAGCTCAGTGGATTGAGCGTGGGCTGGGAACCAAAGTGTCCCAGGTTCGATTCCCAGCCAGGGTACAATCCTGGGTTGCAGGCCATAACCCCCAGCAACCGCACATTGATGTCTCTCTCTCTTTCTCTCTCTCCCTCCCTCCCCTCCCTAAAAATAAATAAATAAAATCTTAAAAAAAATATACCATGAAGTGTTGCACAAGGAAATGCAGACTCAAACAATAAGATGACACTTACAAATCTATCAGATTGACGACAATGTCAAGAGATGGATAATATCCATTGTGGGTCAGAGTGTGGGAGAAAGGGACCCACCCCATGCTGAGGGGTGGCAGTGTGGCACGGGAACTGTTCTGTGAAGGGCATGAGTGGTTACCATCCGGGGACCACCCTCTGGCCCAGTAAGTTCATAGCCAAGCATGATGTAACTGACCCAGTTTTTCCCATCATGCACTAGGCTACACGGTCAAGAGCATTCTTAGCAGCCATGCTGGAACTGGCTGAAATGGGAGAAATTTTAATGTGGGCCAGGATGGGCCTGGAAAAAAAATATAATGGTGTATTCCTAGTATGGAATAATCAGGCGGCCCTTTGCATGAAAGAGGTAGCTCCAGATACACTGATGTGGAAAGATATGAAAGATTTATTCTTAACTGTAACACATAGAGCCTCAAAACAATACATTTGCTATGGCACACTTGTGCAAACACCCCAAAATATATTCTAAACCGAAGGACTAAAGCCATTGCTTTTTAAAGGACACATTATAAACACATATACACAAAACTATTTCATTAGGTTGTTATTAAATTATCTTTATTAGATTTTTTTTAAAATTATGAAGTAATACACATCTATACTAAGTGAAACAAGCCAACAGCGATAAAGAAAATGTTAATATTCCCGGACTTTATTTTGTTTCATTATATTGCTGACTTATGGGATTATTTTTATGGCAACTGTAATGACCAGGCAAGGCAAACCCCTCCCCCGACACCATTCTTTTGTAAAATGTTCTGGGGTGTTCTCAGATTTTATGCTTTCATATTACCTGTAAAGTACATTTGCTCAGTTCCAAGATAGACCATTGGAATTCCACTTAGAACTGCAATTTACTTTGTCTTCACACAATTTTGTGCTCCTATCTAGAATCATATGTCTTTCCAATGTTGTTTAATTTCTTTAGTGAAGCTGTGTACTTTCTTCAATAGGTGCTGTATCTATCCTTTTTGTTAGATTTAGTCCTACAAGTGTTGTTGAACCCTAACACGAATAGGGCCTTTCCATTCTCATTTCTGACTACATTTTGTCCATACAGAGAGAGTCTATTGATTTTGATATACTGCCTTGCATTCAGCCAGCTCACTAAATTTTCTTCTCAAAACGAATTTTTTAAATTAGTCTCATGGGTGTTCAAGGCATCCAACCAATCACAACTGCATGTAAATATAACTCTATCCTTATTTCTAATATTTATATTTTAAGTTATTTTTTACTTTAGTAATAAAAGCACACAGTTTACAATATCAAATAATGCTGGAACACATAATTAAAAACGGCCGTTTCTGCCATACTTGCTTTTGCTTCTGAATCCTCACATGCAGCCACTTTCTTTTATCTTGTTTAACTTTTTTCTGACACTTTCACAATGCCATGTTTCCATATCGCAGGCTTATACTGGAATTTTTTTTTTTAGTTTATCATGCATTTATTTATTTTTGGATAGAGGGGGAGGGAGAGAGAAAGAGAGGGAGAGAAATATCAATGTGAGAGAGAAGCATTCGTTGGTTGCCTTCTGTATGGGCCCCCACCGAGGACCAAACCTGCAACCCAGTCATGTGCCCTGATGGGGAATTGAACTGGTGACCCTTTGGTTTGCAGGATGATGCCCAACCCACTGAGCCACACCAGCCAGGGCTATACTAGTGTCTTTATTTTTTTAATTATTATTTTTTATAAGTAAACTCTTTTTTTTAAAGATTTTATTTATTTATTTTTAGAGAGGAAAGGGAGGGAGATAGAGAGAGAGAGAGAAACATCAATGTGCGGTTGCTGGGGGCCGTCGCCTGCAACCCAAGCATGTACCCTGACTGGGAATCGAACCTGCGACACTTTGGTTCGCAGCCTGCGCTCAATCCACTGAGCTACACCAGCCAGGGCTATACTAGTGTCTTTATTTTTTAGGTCCTATCTCTATTTCCTATAATGGAAAATGAGCAT